GTAAAATCCCTGAGTGACTGGGTGGTCTGTCAGAAAATAAATGTAGTATATTCCACAATGAGTGAACTAAAACTAACATTGTTCTTGGACATTTTCTGCTTGTTTGGGAATGATGACCCAAAGATTGTTCCCTCCTCAGCCCATTGATAATGCAGAATTTACAAACGTGCCTCTAGCATTCTTACCAGGGCTCGAGTCCTGCAGGAACGCATGGGAACGGCGTTCCTGCACTTTTTTCACAGCAGGAACGCCGTTCCCCCTGCAGGCACTCAGGGGGCGGCAAAAAATGTCGCCCCCAAATGCCCTGTGTTCCCCCTGTCATGGGGGGCCACCTGGCGAACGGCTCTCTTCCTGTCACACGTGGAGAGGGAGCTGTGTGCTCTCTGCTTCCTCTCGCCGCGCGGGATGTCTGCTGATGCTGGGAGCCGGGTTGATGATGTCATATTCCGGCTCCCAGCATCAGCAGACATCCCGCGCGGCGAGAGGGAGCAGGGAGCAGAGAGCACACAGCTCCCTCTCCGCGTGTGACAGGGAGAGAGCCGTCCTCACTGCAGTCCCACTGGACCCCAGGGAAAGGTAGGGATGCTGGGTGGGTTGGAATGGGATATGTTAATTTGTTGATAATATTATTAATGTATGTCTGTTTGTGGATGTCTGTTTGTGGATGTGTGGATGTCTGTTTGTGGATGTGTGGATGTCTGTTTGTGGATGTCTGTTTGTGGATGTGTGGATGTCTGTGGATGTCTGTTTGTGTATGTGTGGATGTCTGTGTGTGGATGTCTGTTTGTGGATGTGTGGATGTCTGTGTGTGGATGTCTGTGTGTGGATGTCTGTTTGTGGATGTGTGGATGTCTGTTTGTGGATGTGTGGATGTCTGTTTGTGGATGTGTGGACGTCTGTGTGTGGATGTCTGTTTGTGGATGTCTGTGTGTGGATGTCTGTTTGTGGATGTCTGTGTGTGGATGTCTGTGTGTGGATGTCTGTGTGTGGATGTCTGTGTGTGGATGTCTGTGTGTGGATGTGTGTATGTGGATGTCTGTTTGTGGATGTCTGTTTGTGGATGTCTGTTTGTGGATGTCTGTTTGTGGATGTCTGTTTGTGGATGTGTGGATGTCTGTGGATGTGTGGATGTCTGTTTGTGGATGTGTGGATGTCTGTTTGTGGATGTGTGGATCTCTGTGGATGTGTGGATGTCTGTTTGTGGATGTGTGGATGTCTGTTTGTGGATGTGTGG